TATGTAAAAATACATACAAAGCATTATCAAATGAAATCTTATTATCGTATCATATTATATAAATCATTATATTTAAAAATACTCTATCCTTAGCATTGCTGGACAAAAAAAAGGGGTCCCAGCTCAGGATCCTTAATTTTAATTCATGTCTTTTTTATAAGATAATGACATTTTTGCTCTACTCCATATACAATAATAGAGATGCAACATTTGATTGCTTTCATACTTATTTATTTATTTATTTTGATATTTAAATAAATGAAATAGGCTTATTGTTTTGAAATTTCCTTCAAACTATTTTTCTTTCTGTTGAACACCACGAAATTCAATTTAATCCTTCAAACTTATGAAGTGATATGAACCATAAAAATTTTGATGAGATAATGGCATGCTGAATTAGAGTACCATAAGCACTATAATGGTTAGATGCGCTATGCCTAACTTCTTTGAATGTGGAGATTTGGTTAACAATACTCGGTTGATCTCACCTAAATCAACAGATTCAACACTAAACATACCAACCAGGACTCTTAATTAGAATTTATCGCCATAGTGTCAAACTCCTTTTTTCTTTTTTTTTTTTCGATTCAAAGACCATCATAAACCAACCGTGACAACATAACCATGAGGTTTGTAAGCTTGGTTGAAAGGGCAAACTCCTCAAAGCAGGAGCTACTAAATTCGCTGCCCTGCCCAATTACTATTTACTTTTGGGTTAATTTGATAAATCGTTTATTAATTATTGATATTTTTTATTTTAGTCTAAATTTTTTATTTTTTATTTTTGCAATCATTTATTAATTTTTAAAATTGTATCATTTTCATATTTTTAACATAATTTCGTTAAATAAATTGATGGAAATCAATGTCATGTCATCCATGGCACTGTGTAAGTTGCCATGTAAGGAACATGTGGCTTGAAAATAGAGGGAAAATTCTTGACTCTTTGTTTCCTTCATCTAATTAATAACAAATAATTAAATTATGATCTAATCTAACTAAAATAAAATTCAATTAAAATAAAAAAATAAAATAATTCAAGCCACATGTTGCTTACATGGCAACTTATGTGGCGCCATGTATGCAATGACATGGACTTCCATCAACCTTACTAACAAAATTGTTTTAAGTAGATAAAAATTGATACAATTTTAAAAGTTTGAAAAAAAAAAATAATTATTCCAGATTAAAACAATAAAAGACAAATAATTAGTAGATGATTTATTAAATTAAGTTGTTTACTTTATGTTATACACTATTGACTTTATGTAATTTAAATAGAAAATTGTAGAAATAAATTTTGTTTATGGTATCAATGTCACGTGAAATATTTTAATTGCATTGTTGATAAAATTAAAAATAATATTTATTTTTTCATATAAATTAGTAGTGAAAAGATACAATAAATACATTTTTAATATGTAAAATTGATAATTGATGAATTATAATCATATCTAATGGTTTATTATTTTTATTTTTATAATTTAAATATTATTACTCATCGGGTTAGAGATTAGAAGTTATAACTATCAAACCACCAAATTAAATAAGACATGAGTTTCAATCTTTAGATATAGATAGCACATATAAAAGAAAAAAAAATTCTTTGGATATAGATAGATAATAATATACTAATAATTAATTAATTAATTAATTAATTAATTAATAACGATATAATATAATAACAATTTTTAAGACCACTAAATTCTTTAAAAAAATACCCAAATTAACATTAGAAAAAAGAGAGAGAGAGAGAGAGATAATACCCAAATTAAGCGTATTTAATGCCCAACCAAAAGGGGCTAAAATTCAACCCTTAAATGTGTAACAACAAAATCCAAACTAAAGTCCAAAGTTAGTATACCAACCTATGCCTCTATTGTCCACGTTGCATCCTACAATTCTTACCAAAGCTCCCACGATGCAGATTTCTTTCACAAAATTAGTACCTATAGTTTGTCTTTCCCATCTCATCTGCAAATAAAATTCCATAAAGATCTATTTAAGCAAGGAAAATTAATTTTGCCATCCACTGTTTTGAACTAACAAGTTTTCTTAAAGGTCACACATTTGCAGTGGTCTCATTCATTGTAACTTATGCATGTAAGAGAAAAGGGGAAACACTATAGAAGATAACTTGTGTTTTATTGTATCATTCTTCAGTTTTCATTAAAAATGCTATTGTAACTAATAACTATCATCCTCAAACTGTAGGCAAATTAACATTGTGTATGCTACCTTTATGATCAATAATATAGATACAAAATATTATGTTAACTAACAACACTAATTAAGTTACGCAACACGCCACATGTAGCCTTGTAGTTAAATTAAAAGTTCTCATAAGAAAAATTGATAATGTATGGAAATCATGTGGCCTTTATTAGGTCTACAGATGTGGGCTTCAAATGCCCGCTAAAGACTTCCATGTCTGGCTTTGCAAGCTTTAAATGGGTAAGGGCCTCTAATTTTATATACTTAGGCTTGCATAGGGGAATATGTATGAAAATCATGTGGCCTTTATTCAGCCCAAAGAAAAATGGGTTTAGCAGCAGCACTACTTTTAAGTACTTACGCTTGCACAGGCCTGAAAAATTACATTATTTAAAACGGACCACGGTTACCAGATGGTATGTAATTGCACGCAAATACACGACATAAATATCTGGTTTCACGGCACCAAGCCTCTTAGGTAGTTGTTAAGTACAATTTTTTTTTTTTAAACAGTGTGAAATTTTTTTTTTTTTTTGATGGGGGAATGGAGGGTTTGGGATTTGGGATTTGATCCAAGCTCTATTAGTCCTACGCACGTCCCTTGTAGTGGATGGTTATTAAGCCACCGAATGCGGGACAGTTGTTAAGTACATTTAGTTTATGTTTGGGAATATGAATTTATGTTTGAAGGATGTATTTTAAATATATATAATTTTAAATAAATATATTTTTAAATTTATTGTATGAATTAATATTATAAAAATGAATTTAATATTCAAATTATTGATTAAGGCAATTTTACAAATACTTCCAAGGCAATCCTTTTGCAGCTTTCAGTAACTAACCCAAGCCAAATAACAACTTTCACTTCATCCCATCCACTACCAAACAAGAAGCTAAAAATTCCTGATACCAAAATTGGTAGCCGATTCCCACTCGCCTTTCCAGTTACTGGGCACCGGCCCAAGTCCGGTATTGATAAAGCTCTTACTCTCCGGCCAAACACCGGTATCCAGCACACCAATAACTACTTCACTCATTAAGTCCGACTCGGGAAACAAATCGGTGCTTTTGTCGAGTCCCAGGAACTCAGGAGTCCGAGTTGTGTGTAACTCGTACTTCCCTCGGGCAAAACAGAGGGGCAAAACAGAGAGAATCCCGGGTTGGCTCTCGAGTTGCACAGCTTCCTCCAGCATCAACCGCGTGGAGAAACCGTGAATGACTTGCTCGTAAGTGTATATCATTTCAGCCGATTCCGAGACGGACTTAAGATACGAATCATACCAGTGGCTACGGTGCTGAAATACATTAATCTAAATTTAAAATACATAAGGGTTGAGAGAAGATTTGAAATAAATAGATTTTAAAATAACAAAATATACAAACTTAATTACATATATTTAGATAGAATTCAATTACATTATTATATTATTTTATGAAAATAAATTAAGATATTAAATTTGAAATACTCAATTTCAAATCCACTTTAAAAAAACCACGTTCCCAAACAAACCATTAATGTTTTGATTATAATTAAAATTTAAATTATGATTTTATCATATTAAAAATTTTTCGTCCTTTTACCTTCAAAATATACCTGTTGAAAAAATAAAGAAAAAAAATAAAAAATCTCGATTCACTAATAAATCACAATACAAAATCGAGGAAATTCTAGACAAAAAAAAAAAAAAAAAAAACTCGCCACTTTTATTAATCAAACCCATACTCTTGAATTTATGAGGCGCCTTAACCTTCAAATCCTTAATCATTGAACTTTTCTAACCTACTCAATCCCCTCTACTTCATTTTTTGCACGGATTGCTTAAGAAATTTCAAATAATTTTATTATTAATAAACAAAAAAATATATATTGAACTATACTATATTAATTATTAAATGAGAGTTAAACCTCTTAATACTAGAATTCTCTCTCCAAAGTTCCTATTTTACAAACTATATCAATTTATAAAAATAAGATTTCCATCAAAATGTTTGCATGAAAATGTCAAAAGATATACTAATTAGTAGGAAGCAATCTCGTCTTCAACTGAATCAATTTAACTATACTAATGGTCTATTTTAATGGCCCAGGCCCCAGGGGGCAATAGGGATCAACGGGAGTTCAATTTGCTTCACGTGGTGGTACGGCAAACGATGCCATACAGCCTTGGCAAAAAACAGAACATTTTGTGACGAAACCTTGTTTAAAACGAAATGTTATGTAGTTATCTGCAGAGATGCTTGTAACATCAGGAATCCAAAGGCAAAATAATGAAAGAAAATTTGAGGTATTTTGGTCAATTTAGGAACAAAATGCAGACAAATTTTAGTCGGCAATGATATGTAATGAGAGTAGCTTAGTGGGATTATTATAAAGCTCAAATGATGAAATCATGAACTGACACAGATGTATAAACTACCTATCTTATGTCAGTTTAGTAGTCATCAAAAAAATTTAGATTATGATTAACTGACTTCATGTTGATTTATGGTTAAGAATAGCTGTAACTTATATGGAGAAGCTAACATCTTTGTCCCTAAACAGACAATGATAATTTTTTCTTTTTTTGTTTTTTAAATGTATGGTCAGGTGTTTTCGAATTCACCTATTTTAAGACTAATTCATCTCCAAATCTTAAAGATTTACTCTCATATTAAACTTCGACCTTGAAACAAACAAAGTTAATAAAGTGAATTTTTCTAATGGTACAATGGATACACTTTTTTTATAATTGATTCACATAAAAATACAAAAATTGACATTATTTTTATCATTATTATCACATAAATAATTTTACCTAGTCATTTAATTAAAGTAATGTCAACATTTATATTTTCATATGAATTAACTATAAAAGCATTTTTCTAACATAAGCCCTTAGAGCACAAGTTAAAAAGTGTATAAATACACTTTTTTATTATAAATTTATGTCAAAAGAATAAAAGTTGATATTTAATTTATTAACTATTTAATTAAATTTATTAACGTGACAACAATACTAAAATAATAAAACTAATATCAATTTTTACATTTCTTTAAAGGTTAAATGTCAATTTTGAGCCCTCAACCTTTTTTTATATCTTTTGGTCTCTTAACTATGAAAAATGCACTTTTTTAGCCCTTCTATCAGTTAATACGTTAAGTTTATTTGAATCTGTACATTTTTAATCCCTCAATTTTTAATATATGCACATATGCACATTTTTTCATTAAGTTGAGGGACTAAAAATGTGTAAATTCAAATAGACTTAATGGATTAATTGACGAAATGACTAACAAGTGCATTTTTTATAGTTAAGGGATAAAAAAAGTACAAAAAAAGTTGAGGGATGAAAATTATACAAAACCTTAAGTTAAGGGACCAAAATTACATTTAACCTTTTTAAAATTTATAAATATATATATATATATATATATACACACACACTTAACATATATGCTAAGAACAGAGATTTAAAAAAAAAAAAAATCACTACAAAAGCTATTGCACATAAGTTAGAAAAATCCTAATAAAATTTAGTTACCATTGGGGAAATAACCAAAGTTGTTACTTTGCTTTTCCAAAATAGAAAAATGAAATTATTGAGTGAAACAATGAATATTACTGTTGTGTTGGAAGGGAAAAGAAATTCAAATAAGGGCTAACATCCACTTCCAAAAGCAAACACTGAAATTTGAAAACTGCCTTCGGCACTCAATTTGCACTTAAATTTAACAAACAGTTATTATTACTCCCCTCTGAATATTAGTATATATTTGTAGTAGGTCTAAATTCACTAATCTAAATCATCAACATCATTCTAACTACCAGCATTATTATTGTCAGGGATCATTGTGCTTGCCTAAACTCCAAGGTAAGCATCACTTTACTTATCTTAGAAATTCTATCTCTTCAATTCCACAATATGGACTGCACAAACTAATGAGACTCCCTTCCCAGAGACTGAACCTCAACCTTCTACATCAATATCAAACCGTCTTTACAAAAGAAGTGGGTCTTGTTCATCACTCTAATTATCCCAAAAATCAAAAGATTCAAAGCATAACACCATCTACTTTCCTTCCTTCTGTTCTTGAGCATCAGTTAATTTCTTGCTGCTTTGGGTTTAGTCGCATACCATCTTACTCTTAGGCCGTGTTTCACATGAAAAGACTCCAAGGACAGCAACCTCGCACGTTAGAAATGATTTTTTTTTTTAATAACATTAATATTTGAGTATATATAATTTGACTAATTCTACAAATAACTTATAGATATTAAATAATTATCAGTAAATGTCTTGAACATATACATGTTCTAATTATTTCATGTGCAAAGGGCAATTGTTAAGGCCACGCAAGAATTATGTTTGTTTGTTTTGGTCAACAGATATTACATGTGTCTTTAATTTGTTTGATTTTGTCATTTTATACTTGTTTAGGGTGTTTTGAAATATTAGTGCATATAATAAATTATTTTTAGATTATTAAGTAATAAATATATTATTTAATTAAATATTAACTAACAAATACATATTAAAAATCATTATAGTGATTGTTAAGGTCATTTTTAGATATAAGTAGTTCTATGTATTTGATTATCCTTATTTATTATAAACATAGTTTTCCTTTATATTTAATGATATAAATTATAACTTCAGCCTAACTTTAAATATCTTTATATAAAAACTCATATATAATATCTTTTTAATTTATAAAATATCTCTATTTCATCATAAAAAAAAAATTACAGTTATTAATTACTCTAATAATTAAATTAAGGGATTAGTACTTATTAATTTTACATCTTAAAAATTAAGAGAAAAATTATCTCAAAATTAAGTAATTTTAATAAAGTACTATAAAGAAAAATAAAAAATCACTTTAATTCATATTTTAAAAATGTGATATTTTAATATTTTTCAATAGAAATTTATTAAAACAATGTAGTTTTAAAATGATTTTTTTCTTAATCTTTAAGAAATAAAACGGATAAACATTATTTCTTTAAATTAAATATACTTATAAATTCTTTGTATAACCTTAACAATTAATTACGGAGGTATAACTATATTCTGAGCACAAACCACGCCACCTTTCTAACTGCGGCATGTCGGCATGGCGTGCTATAAAAAGATTTTCTTTCAATATCAGATATGTAGGCACCTGGAACTTAATTTCCTTGGTTCGATCCTCCCTCCCTGGTTGACCCCTCAACCAGATAATGTTTCTTTACACTAGATTCGATTTCATCATAATAAACATTAAATTGTTGTCTCGGTTTTAACATCTTCAAGGATTTAGCACGGTACATGTCCAAAACATTTTTTCTAAAATCGGTGTCTTTCTTTTTCACGTGAAAAGGGTCAATATACATCATCATTTGACAATTTCCGCCTTCCATTTTTTTTCCTGGCTCAACTACCACATCTTTTTTTAGCTACGCGTTAGGTACTTAATTATTCTAACCACGCCTCCATCTTAATTATCACGCAATTTAACATTGACATCACAGCTAATTAACAGATGATCATTAGTTCCAACTTCCAACTCCGACCTCAGTTTCGTTGGCCTTCGTTGGCCATCTTCTGTGGGGTCTACCTTCTCAAAACTAATCTTGACCTAATATTAGCCAATCTATATAAATCATGAGACTTAGAAATGATTGATTAAATAATTTGAGACGTTGATTTTGTTTTAGGATTTATTTGTTGTAATTGTTTGGGTATGCTTGATGGTTGTTATATATATTTATTTAAGTTTTTCATAGAAAGTTTTATTATTTTAACTGTTAAGATGCTTTTTTATTACAATCCATTTTATATTTATTTTTAATTAATTATAATTTAAATAAATGTATATATTATAAGACATTATTTTCTTTGTTTATTTTTAATAAATTTAATTCAATTTTT